TCTATCATCATTTTTCTGATTTATCACTTATATATAGTTTTCATAATTACTTTCACATCGGACCTTCTAACTTACCTTTGTCAATGTCATAGTCTGAACTTTGACCCCTCGACCCTCGCCGACCCCTGTCCTGATCATGGCTGGAGAGAGTATGAGTATCGTCGTCATTGAAGCCGAGACTCTGTCTGTCTGCCAGTATCCCCTCATCCTCAGTATCAATCGACCCTGAAGCTGTTCCAGCATTCTCTTTCCTCTCATCTTAGATAAAGAAAAACACAGAGAACAATGTATTTCTCATATTTCATCTAGCAATATAAAGCAAACTAAAAAAAAATGTCAGTAAAAGATTAAATATCCTACCCTTTATTTCAATGCTGACTCTACATATTTTATGCCTTTCTTTGAGACAAGCACCGTTAAGGTCAGTATTTGTGCTCCAAGCCAAATTTTCAACAAGAAGCACATAGTGCCTGTATCTCTTACATGTTTCTATTGTTGTCTGAGCTTCAGCCCCCTGAGGAGCTACAGTCTTCCTTCATAGAACAATTGATTCTCACGCACCAGATATTCATATGTCAAAATATCTCAAATCTGTTCAGGGGACCAAAGGAAACTTTGTATCATTGATTCTTTGGGGGAATCTGCTCTATTCTTCTATTCTCTCTCTCTGGAACATTTTGCAAATACATCCTTGTATCTGCAGTGTTCCATTTTCCGGAGAGAAAATGGAACACTGCATTTTCACATAATCTTTAATAGATTGCAGAATCTGCTCTATTCTCTCTCTCTGGAACATTTTGCCAATATCTGCAGTGTTCCATTTTCACTCTGGAAAATGTGTACATTATCACAACTGAAACATGCACCTACAACCTTGTTTCCTCGCTAACAGTGTCCAAGTTTCATCTTTTGAGTAGTTTAATGATAAATTTGCTGATAAATCTACATTTTTCCTCTGCATTCTACTGCTGTGGCAACCATATCGGTTGATGGCTTGATGGATGTAGCTACAGTAACTAGGTAGGGCAGAAGAAGGCGTTGTTAGCGAGGGGTCACTTGGTCACATTCTTTTAATAGAACTTACCTCGACCACTAGCTGATGGTATAGGGGGTAGAAAGTTCTTCTGTCCCTGTTCACTCCCAGATCTTAAGTTACGGTCTAGCTCCTCCTCAATCAGTTGCCTTTCCTCCTTGGTCAGACTGGGCACTGATCAATAAAAGGTCACAAGCCATACAAAATGTTTCTACTTAAATGATGAGATAAATAAGACCTTATCACAAGAGACATATCTATTTAAAGGTATGGGTATCCCATCATTGTAATGATGTCGTAACCAACTGACCTGCCTGGTTGATAGCAGTATCTATTCCAGGGGTACAGAGAACATGAGAGAGGGTAACCCCCTGAATTTCAAAGTCGTACCCTGGGCCAAGTTACATCCAAAACGAAATAAAGGGGAGGTAACTATGTATACACAAAAAAAAGAGGAAAAATTCAAGTTTTTTGCCTACAGCAGCAAAGGGATTGTCAAAAGTGAAAGCAATTTTGTGCTAAACTTTAAGGTGGGGGAAGACGGTTAAATATTTTAGAGGTGACAGAAGGAAAGCAATTTTTTTGAAGAAAGGAAAGTATGTCTGTAACTTTGGGTACGAGTAAAGCTTGTTACCTTTGGATGTTTTGCGTACAAGAAGGTCGGGTAGGGTTAGCCGCCAGTTGTCCCCGTAATGTTTTTTCAGTTCTTCTTGAAGGGTTCGCGCTTGAGGGAGGCCACCCGTCGTCTTGTACAGTTTGTCAAGGTGATAGCTAAAACCAAATTAAGGTGTCTTATCAGAATCAGATTTAAAAATTAGGAGTACATGTATTTGTAAAATCAAAGAAACAAATATTGGATTCAACATTTTCAAGCTATTTTCATTGAAAAGGATTGTTAGCTAAAATGTGAGAAAATTTGCTGATCCAGAAAAATTCAGCAGCTACGTATTGTTTCATTTCTATTTTGATTTGACTAATTTCATTTTTATTTTATATTTCTGAAGTCTGAAAAAAATTGTCAATTTTCTGATGATGAAGATTGTGATAATATTAATGATGATTTATGCAGTAAAAGAGTTTTTGAAATTAGGCCTGTGGCTTCAATCGAGTAAGTAAAATTTCTTTTGAAATACACAAAAATAGGATTTTTCAGAGTTGTTTCATTTTTTCTTCTTCTTTTAATACAATTAAAAAAGATTGCTTGTCCTTATTATTTAGGATACATTATTTAATTCATATTATTGCATTTTTATCCGAATAGAAAATGAAGAAAGCAATTTAGTTTTGGAAACTTTGGGAATTATGGCAATATTTTCCATCTGGAAGGGGTCTGAGCTTTGCCCCAAAGTGGCCCTAAAAAGCGCGGATATGGAGTAGAAATTAATGTTTGATCTTAAAATAAATGTGATAAAACCACTTACTGAGGTTTTGATGTCCTATCACATCCCGGACACAACATGTGCTGTCGACATCCGAAACAGAACCCAGGGAATGTGTACTCTGGATCACGTTTGTCCGTTTCCGACAGCAGTTTCTGATGTAACAGAATACTGTTTACAATGGGGTAGTAACGCTTTGGCTGGGCCAGGAATTCTTGACGCAGAAAGGACAAGGATGGGACTTGTGGAAGGTGGTTCAGGCTAGAAATATAA